TGTGTGTATACCAGGTGTGTGGTGTGTGTGTGGATACTGTGCATTTATAATCTGTGTATACTGTGTGTGAGTATACTGTTAGTCCTGTGTGTGTATACCGGGAGTGTGTTGTGTGTATACTGTGCATTTATAATCTGTGTATATTGTGTGTGAGTATACTGTGAGTCCTGTGAGGGGTGTGTGTATACTGTGCATTTATAATCTGTGTATACTCTGTGTGAGTATACTGTGAGTCCTTTGTGTGTGTATACCGGATGTGTGTATACTGTGCATTTATAATCTGTGTATACTCTGTGTGAGTATACTGTGAGTCCTGTGTGTGTGTATACCGGGTGTGTGTATACTGTGCATTTATAATCTGTGTATACTCTGTGTGAGTATACTGTGAGTCCTGTGTGTGTGTATACTGTGCATTTATAATCTGTGTATACTCTGTGTGAGTATACTGTGAGTCCTGTGTGTGTGTATACTGTGCATTTATAATCTGTGTATACTCTGTGTGAGTATACTGTGAGTCCTGTGTGTGTGTATACTGTGCATTTATAATCTGTGTATACTCTGTGTGAGTATACTGTGAGTCCTGTGTGTGTGTACTTACGAGGGTGTGTGTATACTGCAGAATTTTATAGTCTGTGTGTGAGGTATACTGTGTGTAATAAGATTGTGAATGGTTTTGTATTTGGATTGTGTTAATCGTCCGCGCATGCAGCTCTATTACTTTATTATTGACCACAAGAAGCTTATATTTTTTATTTGTCTTTACTTTTAAAGAGTGCAAGTTTTTCCCCATTATGATGCATGGGGAAACCAGATGGGACGTTCTTTGTGATTATTATAGAATATCTGTAATAAAATGCCAAAATAATGATCAGATTGATTTTAATGGCTGGAGTGCTGGTGGGAGTCTTGTTATATGCAGCGCAGGCGCCAATGTGTGAGCGTTGAACCTTCTTACTTATTGAAACATTTAGATATAAACAAAGTTTTGTTTCCTAATTGTTTTATATGCAGCCAATCAAATATACCAAGTTAGATTTCAATCAGGGCCCTAATTTTTTTAAAATTTAACTGTCCAAATAAACACACTATGACCTCAGCCCTTTGTACAGCGCTATGGCATACGTTGGGCCCTTATACCTAGAGACCTAGTAATTTTACTGAATTGAATTCTGGGTGACAGGATTAGCTGCCTTACTGCTTGCCGTCTCCACGAGCTTCCTGGCTGTGTTACTGTGACATCGGGTCCTTGTATCTCTTTTTGTTCAGTATTCTCCGAGTTTCCCCAACTGAGAGGAGCTGGCAGGCCTCGAGCACGTGATTACAAGGTGCCTTACAACGAAAATAATTCATCTCAATGTCAAACTGTGTCGGTCTTCACATAAAGGCCATTATTTACTGAAATAAAATCCTTTCTACAAAAATAACTTTTTTTTTTATCTGCTGCTAATGGGTGATGGAAAGGCCAAAAAACACTTTTTGGAGCAATTTCACTTCTGATAAAGATTGAGGAGAGCACAAAAATGTAAACTTGAGAGAACAACGTGTGCACGAAACAACAACCAAACTAAACATTATGAATGTGCTAAACAAAAAGCATGTAAAGTCAATGTTATAATAAAATCATCTGATTATAGTATGATAGTGATGATGCGGATTGACGTTACTCTCACTCGTTGTAATGACATAACTCATTATGGCCTTGATTTAATATTTTTGGGTAAGCTTTTCAAATGATTTTTTCAAAATATTAAAATATAAAAAAATATATATATTTCAAAATATTAAATCATTTGAAAAGTGTTTCCAAATATATTAAATTGAACCATAAATCAGTACTATTAAATGTGAGATTTATAACCATGACAACTTCACACTATTGGTCCAGATTCTGAACAGAATTGTACATTGCGTAAATCATTTACTGGTGGTATACCTCGAGGACTGCGTCTGGAAACCTTGGATTACAGTACAGGTTTCTTTTTAACCCCTTAAGGACACAGTTTCAGAAATAAAAGGGAATCATGACGGAATATTTCCATCGTGTGTCCTTAAGGGGTTAATGCTGTTGCAGTAATTCGTTTTAATTTCACCCTTTCTGTCGGTCACGCAGTGTTCGCTGTACGTCTGTACATGACATCATGTCTTCAATCAATGTTGGCAGAAACACTGACTTCAGGAAACACAGTGACCAGTAGTCAGATATTTGTTTGTGCAAATTAACAATAAATAAATAAAACATCTTGTATTACACAGTAATGTTACAGTACAGTCAGGTCAGGAGTTAGTAATAATCAGAATAATGAGTGTTAGCACAGATCACAGCAGCGGGTTCTATGTCACTGTTGCTATACACCCACAGCCCTACACTAAATATATGAGTGTTAGGGCAGCCAATTCTATGTCATATGCACGGAGTGTGTGTATTTGTGTGCGTGCCTGGGAGTGTGTGTCTAAACGTGTGTATCTGTGTGCATGCCTGGGAGTGTGTATCTGTGTGCGTGCCTGGGAGTGTGTGTCTAAATGTGTGTATCTGTGTGCATGCCTGGGAGTGTGTGTCTGAGTGTGTATCTGTGTGCGTGCCTGGGAGTGTGTGTCTAAATGGGTGTATCTGTGTGCATGCCTGGGAGTGTGTGTCTGAGTGTGTATCTGTGTGCGTGCCTGGGAGTGTGTGTCTGAGTTTGTTTCTGTGTGCATGCCTCGGAGTGTGTATCTGTGTGCATGACTGGGAGTGTTTGTCTGAGTTTGTTCCTGTGTTCATGCCTGGGTGTCTGAGTTTGTATCTGTGTGTGTGACTGTGAGTGTGTCTAAATTTGAATCTGTATGCAAGCCTGAGAGTGTGTGTCTGCATTTGTATCTGTGTGTGTGCCTGGGAGTGTGTCTGAGTTTGTATCTGTGTGTGTGCCTGAGAATGTGTGTCTGCGTTTGCATCTGTGTGCGAGTCTGGGAGTGTGTGTCTTGAGTTTGTTCCTGTGTTCATGCCTGTGTGTCTGAGTTTGAATCTGTGTGTGTGCCTGTGAGTGTGTCTAAGTTTGAATCTGTGTGCAAGCCTGAGAATGTGTATCTGCGTTTGTATCTGTGTGCGTGACTAGGAGTGTTTGTCTGAGTTTGAATCTGTGTGTGTGCCTGTGAGTGTGTCTAAGTTTGAATCTCTGTGCGAGCATGAGAATGTGTGTCTGCGTTTGTATCTGTGTGTGAGCCTGAGAATGTGTGTCTGCGTTTGTATCTGTGTGCGTGACTGGCAGTGTGTGTGTATATGTAAAAATCTTGTAACTGTAGTTATTTATTTTTTGTGTGTGCACTCTTCCCTAACCTGCATTTTGGATAAATTGTGGTCTTTTTGGCAGCACCACTACTGAGAAATGCATGTTCCAGGTGTACCCCCAATTCCTCTTTTTTCTATGTAGATCTGGAAAGGCTGAGCACCCCACTCATCCACTATGGGTTTAACCCCTTAAGGACCAATCTTCTGGAATACAATGGAATCATGACATGTCCTTAAGGGGTTAAACAGTAAATCCTGTAGTTAGCATGTTAATCTCCCATGTTAATAGTAGTGTGGGATCCACCGATATTGGGGTACTGTGAAGTAGTGATGGGCTAAACACAATATAGCCACGTACTGTAAACCGAATCCCCATATTTGTTAAGACGGGATTTTAAGTAGCCTTGTAAAATGTAAACTATTTTTTTCGTGTGTGCACTGTTCCCTGGTCTTTATTTGTCTCTTATGTGTTTGTATCTGTGTGTATGCGTGGGATTGTGTGTCTGTGAGTTTGTATCTGTGTGTATGCAGGTTTATACCCGTGTGCATGCCTAGGATTGTGTGTTTGTTAGTTTGTATCTGTGTGCATGCCTGGTAATGTGTGTCTGTGAGTTTGTATCTGTGTGCATTCCTGGGATTGTGTATCTGTGAGTTTGTATCTGTGTGCATGCCTGAGAGTGTGTGTTTGTGAGGTTTTTGTTATCTGTAGGCGTACCTGGAAGTGTGTGTCTGCAAGTTTTTGTTTTTTTTATCTGTGTACATGCCTGGCATTTTGTATCTGTGTGCATGCCTGGAATTGTGTGTCTGTGAGTTTGTATCTGTGTGCATCCCGGGATTGTGTGTCTGTGAGTTTGTATCTGTGTGCATGCCAGGATTGTGTGTCTGTGAGTTTGTATCTGTGTGCATGTTTGGATTGTGTGTCTGTGAGTTTGTATCTGTGTGCATGCCAGGATTGTATACCTGGGAGTGTGTGTCAGCAGGTCCTCTTAAAATTGTTTTGTAAACTGCCCTGTGATATCTGATGGCAGCCTTTAGCATCGCTATACCATCACAGCCCATATGGCAAATCTCCAGCGAGCACTTTAGTTCATTAGCAGTGAAATCTTTCAGTGGTTTAAACCTTCCAGAGACACACAGGCAGCGTATACAAAGTGTGTTTTAATCCCACAGACAATACAGCGGGGGTAAAGCTTCTGTGTAATTCCATAAACTCTAAGCAATATCTGTAATTACTGGACTGGCCAGCTTCCTGTGTACCGTGTGATTGGTGCATCCAGACACAAAACTTTCCCAAATCCGCGGATAAGCTGCCCGACAAAGATTCCAATTATGGAAATTTGTGGCTATTACCGCGCGCTATGATTTGCTGTAATCCCAGGCCTGGGCCGAATACTGACAATTTAACAAGTTTTGATTAAGAAGTGCATAACCCCGCTCGGCCATGGTGCAATGGGAGCGGATTAATAGATATTGGTGTCATATAGTCAGCTGGGAGTATACTACCAAACAGCCTGTTATATGAAAGTGTACGCATTATTAAAAGGGATGATTCCTGCACTCTGCTCGGAGATCGTACAATCCTAATTTTATTTTAAAGAGGTCACTGGTCTGTAAATAGCTCTTAAAAGGTAATTGCATATAGGGACAATTTTCGGGTTACCTCTGGTGGGTTTGGTTCAAAGCAGCACTCCAAGCACCATAACCACTACACCCTCCTGTAGTGATTAAACTGCCAGGAACACCATGAAACCCTCCAAATTAGAAAATGTACTCGGTCCCTCACGTACCAGTCGCCAGACGCTCCTGCCAATGAATAAACATCAGCTATAAGAGCAACCAGCATATCGTATTAGATAATGTATATAGTAAGAGCAGATTGTGTTATATAATGTATAAACTAAGGACGGTTCATGTCATACTATGTATATAGAAAGGGCGGATTGTGTTATACGATATATATAGTAAGGGCGGATTGTGTTATATAATGTATAAACTAAGGACGGTTCATGTTATACTATGTATATAGTAAGAGCGGATTGTGCTATACAATGTATATAGTAAGGGTGGATTGTGTTATATAATATATATAGTAAGAGCGGATTGTGCTATACAATATATATAGTAAGGGCGGATTGTGTTATATAATATATATAGTAAGAGCGGATTGTGCTATACAATATATATAGTAAGGGCGGATTGTGCTATACAATATATATAGTAAGGGCGGATTGTGTTATACAATGTATATAGTAAGGGCGGATTGTGTTATATAATATATATAGTAAGAGCGGATTGTGTTATACAATGTATATAGTAAGGGCGGATTGTGTTATATAATGTATAAACTAAGGACGGTTCATGTTATACTATGTATATAGTATGAGCGGATTGTGCTATACAATAAATATAGTAAGGGCGGATGTGTTATACAATGTATATAGTAAGGGCGGATTGTGTTATATAATATATATACTAAGAGCGGATTGTGCTATACAATATAAATAGTAAGGGCGGATTGTGTTATACAATATATATAGTAAGGTCGGATTGTGTTATACAATGTATATATTAAGGTCGGATTGTGTTATACAGTGTATATAGGCAATGTATACAATAATTGCGAATCGTGTTAAAGTATATCGGTAATCTATATAATGTATATAGGTAATAGAAATGTAGAATGTGACAGCAGATAAGAACCATTCGGCCCATCTAGTCTGCCCAATTTTCTAAATACTTTCATTAATCCCTGGCCTTATCTTATAGCCAGGACAGCCTTATGCCTGTCCCACGCATGCTTAAACAACTCCCTCACTGTGTTAACCTCTACCACTTCAACTGGAAGGCTATTCCATGCATCCACTACTCTCTCAGTAAAGTAACAATCTTCCTGTAGATTTTAAACTAGGTTATCCATCTGCTTTTGTTCCAGTAGGTGAAAGTGTATAAATGTCGTTAATGATTATTAATGGGCAGTAATCATACAGGAAACAGTTCCTGTCCGATTACTGTCCATTAATGATGATATCACGACAAATAATAAAATAAATACTACTAGTAATAAAATACTTCTTATAGTAATATTAAGATAATATCAATAAAATAATTAGTGATAATATTAATAATAAAATATTAGTAATACAATTACTACTAAAATAAATACTATCACTGCTAATGTACTATTGTTGGAGTATTTGATGGGATCTGATGATAATAATCACTGGATATTGGGGATTATAAAACGTGTGCGCCCCGTGAGAGGTGCCAGCTCTCTACCAATCAGTAAGCAGCAATGGTTAGAGTGTCTCATTCCATAAAACACGCATTTTCTTTCAGAAAGAGCGAATGTCGTTTTAATGTCTCGATTAATGGATAAATACTAGAGACAGGTCTGGAACAGAGGCCCTTCCCGTTCCAATTAGCAGACCACTAGAGACAGCTCAGTAAATCAGTTTAACAATGTAAAGTTATCCCACCCAGAGCCTGGGACAGATAGACTCAGACAGATTGTGCCTGGGGCCCCTCCAAAACCAGCTCTACTGGAGGCGTTGAATGATAGAAACGCCTAATGCGCTGGAAGGAATCACTACTGCCAGGGATTACAGAGCAACATATCCCCGCAGCCACAAGCAGCAGTCTATTAATAATGGCTGCTTGCGTTATCACAATATACAATCAGCTCGTGAAAAGTCAGACGGTTTTTCAGACGCAGGTTCTCCGCTTTCTAATGATTGAAATTTCTTTTAATTCTTTTTAAAAGGGAAAAACGACCCCCCTCCTCCCCAAAGTCAGAATTGTCTGCGATAGTCATTGAGGCGTATTCACTAAACTGGGAATTGTGGGGCAATTGAAGATTTTAGGCAAAAATAGTCACATAGCCTGAAACATAAAATTCCCTCTAAATCCCAGCATAGCGAAAGAACATTACCGGGGATTGTCTGGAATCTGAGCTTTCTCCTTTCCCACATGTTGTTAGTAAATTTTTTCTGTTTTTTTTGTCGTAAGTTCTTAAACCAAGTGTCGTCCATTACATCAATGGAGTCAGGAGGTATTCAGTTCAGCATATTGCTAGAGATTAGATTGCTAGCTCTTCAGGACAACTGCCCGTTACCTTTGGTTTTCTTTATAATGTATAAACTCATCCGGCCAATCAATGTCAGCCCTGGTGACTGGCATGAGTGAACGAACAGGTATGGACCAGTGGGGTTTATTTACCAAACGGCGAATTGCATCGAAGTGAAAACCGAAACGCGGTCACTATAGACCCAGCTCAGTCTCAGGTACAGCTTGGCTATTTTAATCTACATTTTATTATTACAGTTCATTGCAATTCATGGTTTAGTGAATATGCCTCAATATTTAGACCCCAATAGCTGAATCCGAAGAAGCCTGACTTTTTCCAAATCTGCTATATTAGCATAATGTGTATTCTCTCGTCAGTTCATAGGCTAGTGAAGAAAGTTGGTTGTATTTACCAGAAACATTTCCTGTTACATTTAGAGGGAATCCTGTTAGGTTAGTGAAGCACAGACAGGGCTTGTAACAGAGCGCTGTTAGTGTGTGAGGTTTTATAAACGCCATCACGTATTGTCACTTGCAAACATCTCCAATTACACAAATATTAGTAATTCTTTAGTTACAAACATATTCTGTAGCGCTGCACAATGTACAAACAGTGTTTACTATATCGCAAACTTATTTAGAAAATATTTCTGATTTATAAACTCATTACCATGAGATGAAAAAGAACCCTCTCAACAATACTAGACTAAAAGATGTCTGGGCCAGCAGTCCAGGACAGTGAACCCTAAATCACAAACAGAGCTTGTGGCTTTTAATTTATAATCTGTATGTTTAGACTCCCAGTGATCAGTTCTGTTTCTGTATTGAGTGACATTTACATCCCTCTAAGGCAGAAAACGATAAAAAAAACCCGACATAGTAGTAGATACCTGGATTAGCCTTCCAGTGGGAGCAGTACAGGCTAACCGTGATATAGAAATGGTAGTAGATACCTGGATTAGCCTTCCAGTGGGAGCAGTACAGGCTAACCGTGATATAGAAATGGTAGTAGATACCTGGAATAGCCTTCCAGTGGAAATACAGTCTTCTAACAATACATTTTACTGTGATACTCATTAGCGCGCGCACACACACACACAACTCATACATACCTGTTTGCACATGTCCTATATCAAGCCATATATCTTTACATACCAACACACTCAATAAAATCTGAGGTTTTAATAAAGGAATTGGAGTAATATCCCAAAATTGTTTTTTTTTTGTTTTTTTAATAGAATTCTGTTTTTATTTCCTGCAGAACATGGAGTGAACATGGACGGACACCATCTGCAATAATCAGTGACGAGGCTTCCATTCCTGAAAGTCACACGCCATGGACAGACTAATGGCTTACAGTTCAGGTAGGGAATGGGTTAAAGTACGAGTTAGAAAGGAATTGAGGAATTTATGCTGACAAGAGCTCCTTATAAAAACTATTAAGAACAGACAATACCTGGAAATCCCAGGTCTGAGGCCAAGATGACTGTCCTGAAGAGCAAGATTCTTGGAGCTGGTCCTGAGAAGAAGCTGGTTGTACTTGGTTTTGGTTGGACTCATTGCTGGTTGGACTTGGAGATGAAGGCAGTTGGATTTGGTGCTGGAGATGAAGCCGGTTGAATTTGGTGCTGGAGAAGAAGGTGGTTGGACTTGGTGTCTGGAGAAGAAGGTGGTTGCACTTTATCCTAAAGAGGAAGGTGGTTGGATTGGTACTGGAGAGGCTATGATAAATTATGAAGAACAAGAAGATTTCTGTGGAATCAGTTGAAGATGAGTCCAGAAGAAGATGAAGACTGTGCTAATTTAGGAAAGAAGAAGTCCATCAAGGTTTGTCTGTACAATGTTTACAGATGTTGGATGGGGCCGCAGGGAATGCTGTGCATTTCTCATTAGTACTGGCTACAGTGGTCCCAGGATATGTGTACACAGAGGACTGTCCAAAGGGGGCCAGGGTGCTGTTCAGAGAGCTTGTCATAGAGCTGGAGAGGGTCTGACCTTGATTTAAATAAGCCACCAGTCTCCTCATTTCCTCCAAGGCTTGGGCTTGCATGAGGATGTAGTTCTTGGCCAGGAGCAGTGTGGCAATCTTGGATAGTTTCCTGACTGATGGGCTATGGGCGTAGGGAATGACCGAGCGAAGGCCATCCAGGGCATCATTCAAGTCATGCATCCTCCTCCTCTCCCGGGCATTAATGCTGAGTCTGAGTGAACGGGGCTCTCTGGGCTTTTTGCCGGACCCCTTGCCCTCATTGTCATACTGAGAGCCACCCTTGGCACTAGGCTCCAAGCTGTCGTCGTCCTCCCCGGTCTGGTCGTCACTGCTGTCCCTGGAGTTAAAATCCAGGACGGAATTCCCTGCGAAGTCTCGGGCACTGTCTGCCCCACGGAGCGCTCCATAGAATGTCGGCCCATAACTCTGTGCCAGGGACATGTAGGCATCGCTGGGCACTGACTTCATGTCAGACATGCCCTGTGCAGCCCTGTGAGCAGATTGCTCTCTGCAATTCATTGATACATGAGAGAGAGGAGTGCGGGGGGCCCCAGTCTGTATTCCTGGGGTCTGCACAGTACCAACCTCTCTGAGAATTGCCCTGCCCCCTGCCAGCCTTAGGTAGGAGAGCTGTGCCTTCTGACAACTTCAGTCAGACTCCCTTGCTTACTGCCAGCCTTAGCTAGCACTGCTGTGCCCAGTGTCAACCTTAGACAACTCTGCTCACTGCCAGTCTCCCATTGTGTTCCTGACAGTCTCCCTGCTCTATGCCCGGTAGTGTCAGTCTCCTGTACCTGACAATGCCACTCTCAGTCTCCTTCTCTGTGCAGTGGCAATGCCAGTCTCTGCTCTACACCCTTCCAGTCTCAGTCTTTCTGCTCTATACCCTGGCAGTGCCTGTCAGTCTCTGCTCTGTAGCATGGTAGTGCCAGTCTCTCAACTCTGTACCCTGGTAGTGCCAGCCTCTGCTCTGTACACTGGCAGTATCAGTCTATGCCCTGGTAGTGCCAGTCTCTGCTCTGTGCCCTGGCAGTGCCAGTCTCTGCTTTGTGCCCTGGTAGTGCCAGTCGTTGCCCTGTGCCCTGGCAGTCTCAGTCTGTGCCCTGGTAGTGCCAGTCTCTGCTCTGTACCCTGGCAGTCTTAGTCTGTGCTCTGGCAGTCTCAGTCTCTGCTCTGTACTCTGGCAGTCTTAGTCTGTGCTCTGTGCCCTGGCAGTGCCAGTCTCTGCTTTGTGCCCTGGCAGTGCCAGTCTCTGCATTGTGCCCTGGCAGTCTTAGTCTGTGCTCTGGCAGTCTCAGTCTCTGTTCTGTACTCTGGTAGTGCCAGTCTCTGCTCTGTGCCCTGGCAGTCTCAGTCTCTGCTCTGTGCCCTGGCAGTCTCTGCTCTGTACTCTGGTAGTGCCAGTCTCCATGCTCTGTACACTGGCAGTCGCAGTCTCTCCTCTGTGCCCTGGCAGTCTCTCCTCTGTACCCTGGCAGTAGGAGGGAGCAGACTAAGTGTAGCTGCCCAGTGGCTTTTTATATGTCATTGAGCTGCCATGTGGGACTCCATAGATCTGGCCAATCACACAACCTGCATTTTGTTAACTATTTCACGGCTGCTGCCTGGGTCTCAGTCTCAGTTCCCAGACCTTCAGAGCTGTGTATCTGGCTGCCTCCATATAGTGTGTCTGTGAGCCTCTGTACAAGTACTTCACATGTATCTAGCTGCCAGACTGTGTATAATGACTGTATATTATAACTGTGTATAGTGACTTTGTATTATAACTGTTTATAGTGACTATATATTATAACTGTGTATAATGACTATATATTATAACTGTGTATAGTGACTTTGTATTATAACTGTTTATAGTGACTATATATTATAACTGTGTGTAATGACTTTATATTATAACTGTGTATAATTACTTTATATTATAACTGTGTATAATGACTGTATATTATAACTGTGTGTAATTACTTTATATTATAACTGTGTATAGTGACTATATATTATAAATGTGTATAGTGACTATATATTATAAATGTGTATAATGACTGTATATTATAACTGTGTGCAATTACTTTATATTATAACTGTGTATAGTGACTATATATTATAAATGTGTATAATGACTTTGTATTATAACTGTTTATAGTGACTATATATTATAACTGTGTGTAATTACTTTATATTATAACTGTGTGTAGTGACTATATATTATAAATGTGTATAATGACTATATATTATAACTGTGTGTAATTACTTTATATTATAACTGTATATAGTGACTATATATTATAGCTGTGTATAGTGACTTTATATTATTACTGTGTATAATGACTTTATACTGTTACTGTGTATACTGACTTTATATTATAACTGTGTATAGTGACTGTATATTATAAATGTGTATAATGACTATATATTATAACTGTGTATAGTGACTATATATTATTACTGTGTATAATGACTTTATATTATAACTGTGTATAATGACTTTATACTATTACTGTGTATACTGACTTTATATTATAACTGTGTATAGTGACTGTATATTATAAATGTGTATAGTGACTATATATTATAACTGTGTATAATGACTTTATACTATTACTGTGTATAATGACTTTATATTATAACTGTGTAGTGACTATTATAACTGTGTATAGTGACTATATATTATAAATGTGTATAATGACTATATATTATAGCTGTGTATAGTGACTTTATATTATTACTGTGTATAATTACTTTATACTGTGACTGTGTATAATTACTTTATACTGTTACTGTGTATAATGACTTTATATTATAAATATGTATAATGACACCGGGCTAGCCTTAGTAGGGGAGCCTTTTCCATCAACACTCCATACTGCAACCTACAGGCTGACTGCAGCACTGCACCGCTTCTAAACTGCCTGTGTTTGTGGGGAGCGCTCTGTATAGGGAGCTCTCTGTATGGTGGGAGCTCTCTGTATAGGGGAGCTCTCTGTATGGGGAAGCTCTCTGTATGGGGGAGCTCTCGCTTTCTCTGTATGGGGGAGCTCTCTGTATGGGGGGAGCTGGGGGGCTCTCTGTATGGGGGGAGCTCTCTGTATGGGAGCCGTCTGTATGGGGAGCTCTCTGTATGGGAGGCTCTCTGTATGGGGGAGCTCTCTATATGGAGGGGGAACTCTCTGTATGGGGAAGCTCTGTATGGGGAACTCTCTGATGGGAAGCTCTCTGTATGGGCGAGCTCTCTGTATGGGGAGCTCTCTATGCGGGGCTCTGTATGGGAAGCTCTCTTTATACAAGGCTCTCTGAATGGGGGGTCTCTCTGTATGGGGAGCTCTCTGTATGGGGGGGGCTCTCTGTGTGGGGAGGCTCTCTCTGTATGGGGGAGCTCTGTATGGGGCTCTCTGTGGGGGAGCTCTCTGTATGGGAGCTCTGTATGGGGGAGCTCTGTATGGAGGTTCTCTGTATGGGGAGCTCTCTGTATGGGGAAGCTCTCTGAGGGGAGCTCTCTGTATGGGGAGCTCTCTGTATTTTGGGGGGGCTCTCTGTATGGGACTCTGTATGGGAGCTCTCTGTATGGGGGCTCTGTATGGGGGGCTCTCTGTATGGGTGGGAGCTGTGGGGAAGCTCTCTGTAGGGGGCTCTCTGTATGGGGTTCTCTGTATGGAAGCTCTCTGTATGGGGGCTCTGTATGGGGAAGCTCTCTGTGGCAGACTCTCTCTGTGGGGAAGCTCTCTGTATGGGAAGCTCTCTCTCTGTATACGGAGCTCTCTGTATGGGGGGTTCTCTGTGGGGAGGTATGGGGGAGCTCTCTGTATACTGGGGGGCTCTCTCATGGGGGCTCTCTGGGGAAGCTCTCTGTATGGGGGCTCTCTGTATGAGGAGCCTCTGTATGGGGATGGGGGCTCTCTGTATGGGGAGATGGTATGGGGGCTCTCTCTGTGCTCTCTGGGGGGGAGCTTTCTCTGTATGGGGGGCTCTGCTCTGTGGGGGGTTCTCTATGGGGAAGCTCTCTGTATGGGGGCTCTGTATGGGGGCTCTCTGTATGGGGGCTCTGTATGGGAAGCTCTGTATGTATGGGAGCTCTGTATGGGGGAAGCTTTCTCTGTATGGCAGCTCTCTGTACAACTCTCTGTATG